TTTTACTTAATAAGCAAATGCAATTAGGTTAATAAAATTTTTATTTTTTTTCATGTTTCTTTGTTCAATTATTTCCAATGATCTGCAAGTGTCCTTATATTTATGACCAGTGAGTGTAGACTATCATCAGGATAATGATGTGGTCAATTTTTGTCATCAGGCCACATGCGAACTATCATCAGGATAACAATGTGGCCAATTCTGAATTTTGGCCACATTCGAACTTTCATATATGATCTGAATTGAACCTTTTGCATATTGGTGAATCTACCTTGATTTTTGCATCTATTATTCTTAGAATTGCGAGACATAGTAATATATTATGTATAATGATGTATTGTATCAAAGTATTGAGACATTCAAATTTTTTTCTTGTCAAAGTTATTGGCGTGAACAATTGCTCATGCGCACATGATTTTTTTACAATATTTTGAATAAATCTATTTCATATATAAAAAAATATTATAGAACATGGAATCCAAATTAGATTTGTTGAGACAGAGAATTACCAATATCAAGGCTGACAATACTAGATTAAAACGAATTATAGAATAAATTGCTAATCTTAGGATTGAAAATACAAAATTAAAACAAATCATAAAGCAAAATCAAACTACTAATGACCCTTTGCAGTATAATCGTGTAGTTATCTGCAAAAATATCTGCAATTTTGCGCAGCATCATGAAAATATCCAATTTTATTGGTGGGTTGGGTGCGTGTTATTCTTATTTAGAAATCGATTTGGCAATTGCGGATATTTTTTGTGGATAACTACTGATTATCTTTGCAGTCTTCAGCTTCTCCACAAATGTCTATTCCATCACCAATTAATGATGAGGATGATAGTACTGATTCTATAAATTTAGAATAGGAACAAAATTATATTTCTCTCAAAGTTAATCCTAATAATATTTGAATCAAAATCAACAGAAGAAAAGAAATTAGATGATTTTCTGAATCGGGTGACAAAAGAAAAGGTTAGTATCGCTGATGCAATTTCTAGACTAACAGTTGCACAAATTTAAAATATTATAAATCATTTTCCAAAAAAGAATGCACGCATGATTGAACCATTTATCTCAAACAATTCAGAAAAACTGAGGTAAGAGTATTGCCTGAAAAGGTTTCACCAGAAATCCAGGTAAATACATCTAACAAAGTCTGTCCTCCAATTTCTATTTTACCCAATTGCGTACTATTTTCTGATAATGATGTTGATGCAGGATATTACTATGATTTAAGTAGCAGGAAGAATATTTGTAAAAAATCATCCCTAGAACATTTACATGATCCCAATTAGCACCTGTTAACTTTTAATATACGATTTACATTTTAGCGGAGCAGATATGACCAGGCTGTCATATGTTGTACACATATAATGTGGCTGTGCAACAAAAATTATTTTTAGAATTTCAATGTGATGACACATGATTATAATGCATATAGATCCAAAAGATGTAGTAGAAAGAGATGAACAAAAACGTTTAAAAGGACAGTATAATGAAAATACATAATATCAGTAATGATTCAAATATATTACAAGAAATTTGAGAATTGCTGAAAAACTTATAGAAAACAAAAAGGTAAGCATATTAAGGGTGGTAAATTTAGATAGATGGGACTTTTAGTCAGGTTCTTGTACCTATTGGATTCATTCTAATGGGAGTGGGGTAATACTTACTCTTACAAGTTCTGAATTGGATGCATTTATTGGATTCGCTCTAGTAGACATCATGGGATCTACCAATATAAGTTTTTGATAAAGATCTACTGATTCTGGAGAAGAAATTGGTTATGTATCTTCCTTTATAATACAACAAAAACTTAACTGTTGGTATATTTCTGCATCCAGCTATCTTAATCTTATTTTTCATCTAATTATGCTTACTGGGAAATATTTCTCACTCAATTTTGTTTTTATATAGACCGATTAAGGTTGTGGGCGAAACCTCTTAATGACTGTCAAAACTCTAATGAACAATTAATGTGTAACCTGTCAAAACTCTGATGATTGGTGAAAACCCCAAATGCGAAGCTCTGCCAAAACTCTAATAAACAATTAATGTGTAACCTGTCAAAACTCTGTCGATTTATTTCTGGAGGAGTTTCTCCCGCAACCTTAAGACCGATGTTAATAAAGTAAATAACTTGTGGAACAAAGCTAAAAAGAATAAAAAAGTATCACCATCGCCATCATCATCATCATCGTCTACATTATTGTTGTCATCTACATTATTGTCATCATCTACATTAAGGAAAAAATGAAGTGCTACAAATACAATAGGCCCTTTACCAAAGAAAAAGCAATATGTTGTTCCAGAAATGAGTCACTTTTTCCCCAATGAAGATGTACCTATGCAAGCCAATGGTTCAGTAAATATTCTTGAGGTGGTGAAGTCTGCTGTATGAACTTTTGACAAGAATACTATTGCACAGGGATCTTTCTGCTCTTACAAAAGTTCAAATCATTTACACATAGAATCTAAGCAATGTGCAAAAGTTCCTAGGGAGAGAATTTATGATGCAGAGATGTGCTGAATCCTGCATAATTGGCTTGTAAAGGTACATGGCTTTGAAATAACTGGACAATGGCATCTAGAGAGTATATGGGCAAGGACAATAGAAAGGGACCAAATGTCAAAATCACGATTTTGAGAAAATCGTAAAAAAGATTTTGACCCAAAAACTCGGAAATTGCATATCATTTCTATATTCATGACAAAAATCAGGTGCTATTTAATAACTATATATATATATAATAAAAATAATAAATAATAATAATAATAATAAATAAATAATAAAATAATATGTAAAAATAAAAATTTTAAAATTTATAGAAAGCTTTTTATATTGAATAACATTTTCAAGTATATACATTTTTCTGTCAAGGGTTAAACCTAAAGGATATTTTTTTTCTAAAACAGCATCTATAGTGAAATTTTTGGTTATGTCTATATCTATAAGTTCACCATCAATACTTTTCTTAACATATACAATCCCTGGTTCTTCTTGATTAAAAATAAAATGATGATACTTTAAGATATTTGGTAATGGTTTAAAATTTTTTTTTAAATATTCAGTCCAGCTGTAAAAAAAACCTTTCTTTCATCATTTTCATCATAAATTGTCTGAGCAACATTATACCCATTTGTTGATGACTCTATAACATTAACAAGATCCTCTAAATTATCAACTTCAGAATTTTTGAGCTTCAATTTAAACAATCCAAAAAACCC